ATTGTTGGGGAGGAGCCAACAGCAGTTAGCATCGCCATATCAACTGACAAAATAATTAATTTTATTCGAGTTTTTTTTGTCATATTAGGTACAGTCTCGTACAGTATAATAGGACAGTGTGTATAACAACATTAGGCATTACCTTTATAAGGGATTTAGTATTGAATGACAAATGTTACTACAGTAAGGCAGTATCCACAAAATAATCTTTCAAGATTCAGTAACTGGATTGTAAGCTATTAAAAATATATGGTTATGAGACGCACTGTCCCACACGGGTGGAGCACTTCGGATGAGTAAGATCCTGGCTCCTGCCTGGCATACGTAATTAAATGCGCCTTACGCAATGTGCGAAAAAAACGAAGGACTGACAGAAAGGGAAAGAAATCAAAAGTTAAAGGAGAGAACCGCTAAAGCGTGGGTTGGTGGGGAGTGGGGGCGTTTACCAGCAGCTCCACACGCCCACTTGGCAGACGCTTTTCAGCTTTTCTATGTAATTAGTTTTTCCCCTCCAAACCGAAATACGAGAAAAGAAGAGAAAAAGTTCCTTGTGCGCTTCGTTTCGTATTTTATTGAATTTTCTTTTCATTTGTTTGTTGATTTTTGGGATTTACCGCATTTCGTATGCACAGCGAATAGATAGGACAGAGGAACGGGAGGGTTTATTGAGGGAATTCGGGGACTGCCATTGAGACAAATCTCTGTTTATCTACGAGTATCTTGTTGTTGCCGCTGCTCCTGCTGCTGCTGCCTCTGTGGCTTTTCGTTTTGCCAATAAATTACTTTGTAATCAAGTGAATTCGAGTGGCAAAGGACAAAAGTGGCAAAAGCTGAAGGAAAATGGAAGTTAGCATGGCTTCAGGGACGCCAGGAAATGTTGCATTTGCCCCATAAACTGATGACTATAATTTGTATAAGGTTGTTTATTAAATTCCAGCCATCCTGCCCGGAGGGGCTGAGGCTATTTGTGGGCTATCATGTTTAATTTTAAGAAAACGATGATTAGCTTTTAATCGGCCTCTAGTAGCAGTTCGATATATTGCGAGTATTGTACAATGTAGAATACTTTCCCAATATTCTCTTTCTCTACCCTTTATCAAAGTATTTATTACGGGTATGCTATGTATTTTCGAGTGTATGTATGTGAACACACTTTCCTAATACCTATAAGAATGCGAATCAATCGACCCCATCACAGCATCGCTCTGAGGCTGAAGCCCTAGCTGATTCCGAGCCGATGCTGGTATTGGTATTGGGGTGGACGCGCAGTTTGCTCAATGCATTAGTCGAGGACGTTGTGGCATAATGGATTTGCACTTGCAACACAGCAAAGGAATCCTTTGGTAAACTTATTGAATGAATATTATAAGTGCACATATAAAATATTTACTATGTACTTTATATGAAACGATATATACATGTCAAGACAGTGCTTTACGGAATGATATAACCTTTTTAGAGCTGAAATGTATATCCTAATCTGATCTATCGGAAATAAAAAAAACGGACTATCCAATCTTTCTGATAGAACTATGATAAACGTACACAGTTGTGAATTGCCTTGTTTGCCTGTTTTGCTTCATAATTGCTTGACAAAATTATGGGAGCAAGACAATGAGTAGAGATCCTGGAAAAGCAGAGGGGAAGAGGGACAGGGAGAAGGAGACGGAGAAGCACTAACTAATCTGTCAGCGACAGATGCGGGCGCAATGATAAAATTTAAAATTGCCCAGCTAGCATTGCAATTACCCTCAAATAAAAAACCAGCACAAGGATATGCTAAAAGGACCTCCTGCTGCGATGTGGAGGAGATAGAGAGAGAGAAGAGCCAAGAGTCAGTTTTTGCCTGCTTCTTTTTTCTCATATACGATACCTTTTTCACCGACGTTACTCGAGAAAAACTAAAGGGACAAAATATTCGACCGCATCGTATCGTATCGACGTGTAATCGAATATAATAAACTTTAAGTCCGTCCACTTAAATCGGATTTTTTCAGTGTGGACATTCTGTGCAGGGAAAATAAAAGCCGACAGCACTCTCGAGGAAGGACCGATGAGAGCAATTTTACACACAGACACATGCGTCGGTAGAAAATATATCGTGAAACAGCAGTTTAATGAAATAAAATAAATCCTCACAGAGATGGGAAGAGATTCTCTCTCGCTCTTTCCCTCAAGCAGCAGCGGGTCGCCAGCAGCCTCCAGCCGCAAGGACAAAAGGCAGTTGACATTATGCCATTGTTAGAGGATGACCCCTCCCCTCACCCTAACCATAACCCTACTCGTACTCCGCTCCCCATCTCTTTCTGTGTGCTGTTGATATTATATTACATTTTATAAATTACATTTTGAGCGCAAGCAAAGCTGATTCACTCTGCTCCTGCTCCTGCTCTGCTCTCTCTCTCCCACTGAGCCACTTTCCATGGCAGACTTACCCACGCCCACACCCCCGCTCGCTACACTTCAGTTGCATGCAACACAAGTTGACATTTATTGTTGTTGTGGCCCCATGCATTAGCCATCGGCTGGGTCTCCGTCTCCGTCGGAGTCTTCCCTTCAGTTTGACTTCAATTGCGCAACGGAAATGCATTAAGAAATTCATTCTGCCCTGAAACACCAACACCCCTCTCCTGGCCATAAAGCGACATGCCCTTCAGGTGCATTGAACCAATAATCAGCAAACTGGGAAATATTGTGGGCGAGGGGAGGCTGGCTCTGGGAAATGCTTTTCAAATCCAACACAACATCATAAGTGGTCGGTAAGGGACATTTTTCAAATGGCTAATGCAATGTCTAGGCAATAGGGTTTCGAATAAAAACTAATTCGTAAACCAAATGGAATCCTGGAACTGAATGTGTTGCAGCAATTAGCTGGAGGAGCTTTTCCTCCGAAACTGATTGATCTGACGGCAGTCAATCAAAGCCCTAACGGTCTAATAACAATATCAAAAAACATTTAGCACCAATTCACATCAAACACATTGCCCTTGGCCCTGCTCATGTCCCTGCCCCTGCCCTGCCCCTTTTCCACCCACATATTCACTCAAATTTACCTTTTTTTGTGCACATTTTTATGACAAGTAATCCGCTTTCACAGCAATTGATGTCAGGGGAAAATCGTCACAAAATGAAAGTTAATACCCAACAACGCGAAAATTGATTCCACCTGATGCGATATCCCATCATTATTATCGAGTTTGTCCTCTGCCAACGGCCCCCTTCCGCAACGTACTACGAGTATTATTAAACATTTTATTTGATGTTGAGTGAATAGTGATAAGGCTAATGAATGCATGCCCCCATCCTCATCCTTGAGTGGAATCGCGCCTGGTGCTGGCATCGGGACAGTGCTTGGACGCGGACGCAGACTGGGACCCGGTAAAATATCATTATGATTCTATTTACATTTGGCTTTAATAAAAGTCAACCCAGCATGTCTTATCGAGCGATGGCGATGACTGTTTGATTTCATATTAAATTAGTGTCATAAACGGAACAACTGCTGCAGTTCGCACGGGCTCCAATGGGATAGCGGGATGGGACTCGTTCGGGAATTATCAATGAATTATTTACAATGCTGTATTAACAATTTGTTAAACAATTTTATGGTGTTATCGTGGCCAACTCCACATTACGTATACGAAGCGTTGCACTGTGGCCCCCAATCTGTTTCCGATTGGGCTTTCCAGCTGTAATGTAATTTCCGCAGTGCATTTCCAAAAGAGCCACCAATTGTGCGTAATTTTATTTATTTAATGCAGCAGTTTGCCGTGCACGCATTGCATTCAGTGCGTCCCATGCGTTGTCCATTGTCGTGGCAGTTCATTTCCGGTACACACAACAGTAGCTGTCATTGCAGCCACTGCTGATGCCATTGTTGGAGTTAAACCCTGTGATTGTCGGCTTTAGCTCCACTTGATGAGAAACAGCCTCCTCCAACGGACTACCCAAATGCATACTTCGGGAAAGTGTTGCAGCTGGAACCATATATGTACTAACCTTCGCCTAATTCCAAATCGGATTTCCTTTTCGAAATTCTTTAAGTACAATTTCAGGTCTGAAAAACAGAGATTCTTACCCGATTAACATCCCTAAGGCCCTCAAAAGTATGCCAAGGAAAACACGTTCCCAGAATTCCATCCATCCATCTATCCATCCATCCACACATCATCTGCAAAATGGCAACCACTCAGCTCCAACTCCTGACAACAGCCTGCATTGTCCTGATTCTGCTCGCAGCAAAATTGGCTTCAATTATGCGACAGAATTATGAAATTACAAAAATTACGAAAGTAAGTAGCTGTTCGCCGCTTCTGTTCGCTTTTCGCTTCAGCCAAATGTAATTGCGGCAATTTGCAGTTCCAACTGGCAGTCGGCTAATAACGTTTATTAAAACCACAACAACACAGTGGCGGTTGGGTCCTGTATCAGCGCCTCCCCCTGAGCTGCAGTCTTTAACAAGTATGAACGATGCAGTCGAGTGTACCGCCTAGAAAGTACCTGGTACTCAGGTAGTGGAAAGGGAAAACCAAGAAACCGTAGAGGAAAACGGATTTCTGAGAGCGGCATCTTCTAGATTTAGGCACTTTTTGTTCATGTTTGAAAGTATCTAAAAAATATGAGTAAGGTCGTCGCTCTGTTAAACATCTACACGATTGCCAAATACCCTGTCGCTTTACGATTACTGGGTACTGCAATAAGCCGAATAGAGATGGATTTTTCAATGACAGAAACAGAGAGGGAGAGAGAGAGAGAGGCAAAGCAAAAGAGGTGATTATATAGAATCTCATATGGCAACGTTATGCAAATTATGCAAATCCTTGTGAAGCACATTAATGCGCACAATGACAATTAATCGCTGCAAATTAAAATGATGACAATGTGCTGGATCTGCCTGGGGATATCTGGGGGCCTCGACCACACCCACGCGCCCAGCCACCGACTCAGGCACTCAGCCACTCGTCGGGATTTGGCTAGGCAAATGAAATAAGAAATAAGAGTTAAACGATGTAAACGGTAATTATTTATGACTAAACTGGTGAAGGCGGATAATTCTCATTGTGCTCGCCACCGAGGCGACCCATATCGCGAATAGCCTGCTGCAGTCGTCGCTCCTCGTGCAACCCATCCACGCCCGCTCCCAGTCGCTCGATGAACTTGGATGAACGGTATCCGTTTTTCTGCGGAAGGCGCAGACAGTTACAGTTACTCTAATGTGACACGATCAAGGGGGAGAGTCTCACCTCATAGTAAAGGGCACGAGACTTTTTTGCCGCGTCTGGATCGAAGTTCCATTGGGTGACCTGATGTGTGATGGGCTCGCCGGCCACGTTGTTCTGCAGGGTCTCTGATATCAAGCGGAATATGATACCATCTGCGGGTTGACTGATCTGCAGCAGGACCAACAGCAGAGTGAGCTGAAATGAAGATCGTTCCGAGTTGCGTTAGAAAATATATCAGTTTCCACCATTTACCATTATCAATTCTCATAGTATTTTCATGTACATAAATATAAATGTAAATCTGAAGATTATTAAAGTATAACGTTTTAACTGAATTTACTTAGTCTTTTATCATAAAAATTTTCAAAATTACTCGTATCGTTAAAACGATAAAAAGCATTAGAGTTATGTAGAAGCAGCCAACACTATTTTTCACTCGGTAGTCGTCTGGCCTTCTTAATTGTAACACTTCTATATTTTCTAATAAATAATTGAGTATTTCGTTTAATGATAAGCATTAAAAGCAATTAATGCCAAAACTGAACTTTACGATTTCACAATGATCGCATGAAAATATTCCAAAAAACTCGTACATAGATATGTGCTTAGGAAATTTGCTAGTTTACTTTGGAAAATTAACAACAACAAAAATAATTGGCACTGTTCTCAGCTGTGAGAGCGGATCTCATATGGGCGTGGTCTGTGTCCCTAAAATTGCGCATACGCCACATATAAGTCACTGCATTCACTAACACCGAATCTTATCTTTCCCTTTCATTCACCATCTTCTTCATGGCTTATTTATTCCACTTTAATCTCATTTCTGTGCACTTACCACTACCTACCAAATAGACAAATCCCAGGTGTAACATTGTCTGGATTTCTCGATGTGGTTGACGTTGAAGCGCTGGGGCCCGTGCGAGTCACTGGACCATTGATCACTGAATAGCACCGAAATCGCGGTGTTGCATAAAACTCAGCCAAGCGCCAAGCAACTCCAAAAATTATTGAAAATAACCCGCAACAAGAAAAGCAACAACAAAATATGGCAAACAAAGAGACTTTGAGAAGCCACAAAGCAAGGCAGAGAGCGAGCAACAGAGAGATATGGATATAGAGAGAAAAAGAGCTCATAAGAGATAGAGATAACAAAATAATGTTTCGGTTACAAACCTTTTACAGATTTAAAGGCTGTTGCTGCTTAAATCCATATGGAGCTTTTAAACGAAAGATGATCTCCGATCTGGTGGCTTTGGCATACGACCTTCAAGTGGCGTTAAAGTACTTGCGTTTTCCATAATGTTAGATTCGTTTTATGGCAATATTGTTCTGCATTTCCAGAGGGTATAACCACTCGGCTCTTTATTTATAGAATTCTCGGGCTATTTTCTTAAAATTACTATAGAATTCGAAACCGACAGGATATGTATAGCTTATAGAAGCTGTATAGAAGCTGAAGAAATTTCGATCAAGCTTCAATTGTGTGGCATAGAAACCATAGATCTGCAAGGGTATCAAAAGTTTCGGTACTCTACGAGAAAATCTTTTGACGGTTTTTTTTGTTTTCGTTTATAATTTTATGACCGTCCAAATAGGTTTTCAAGGCAGACGGAACTAAGTGCGCGTATTTGCCAAAGGTTACTCACATCAGCCGCGAAACGGCTTTGGGCCGAAGCAAGCACAGAAGGCAAGGAAAATGCAAATGCCCGACAAAGAAAGTGCGCCAGAGCACGATAGAAATGGCACAGTGGAATGGAAGAAAGGCGCAAAGAAGGAAGACAGCAACAGGTTGTCCAATGCGGGACTGGCTCTTTGTGGTTGCAGAAGTTACATAATGGTCCATCGTCATCTCGATCGGAGCCGGAGGCAGACACTCGCTCCAAAACCACTTTGGTCATTTGGCCTCAATTCCGTTTTAGCCCACTCGAACAGCTGTCTCTGTGGGAGCTCTCTCTCTCTCCGTCTCTTTCTCTGGAGTGGGACGCTGACTCTCTCTGCCTTGGGCCTCTCTCTCTCTTTTTGGAACCGAAAGAGACTACGTGAGTCTCTTCACGTCTACTTCGATTATTATTTACACAGATTTCCGGCAGCTTGAATCCATGCGGAAAAAGCTATACGAAAGAGTATTTTGCAGGACTTTCACTTTCCTTTATAGCCAAATCTTTAGCATCATTAGATCGTAAGGAAAACGGATAAGTTCCAGTTCCAGTACCCCAAAGAGAGAGAGAGAGCGTGCCACAAAGAGACCTAAAATAAGGTGAGATATGCGCCGACAGCGCTCTCATCGCCTGATACCTCAAGGGGGAAGGCCTTACCCTATACAAACATACCTTGGCGGAGCGCACACGCAACGAAGCTCTCCACTAAGCTTTCCATCTGGCGCTCTTCTTGGAGCTGTGTGGGGCTCTGCGTTGTCTGGCGGTTGGCCATGCATTTCATTCAAACGCGATCGCCGGCCAAGCAACTCCGCTTGGAATCCGCTTTGGGCCTACTGGGGGACTGTCGTTACAAAACCGAACATTGTTGGATTCGAAGAAATAACCATGGCAAAGTTGAATGCTCTGCTGCTGGCCGTAAGTTAGATCGTTTAATTTTCCCTCCAATGGGAGTACAACTATCGAGTATTGGCTTCTCCAATTAACACGGCCAGACCGAAAGTCGCACGTTCTGGCTGACACAATTTCCGCTGCGCCTGCGCGAAAGTGGCACCCGAAAGAAAACCGTGTCGAAAGCAGTGACTGACTGGAATTTCCAATGAGCACTACGTTTGACACATTTCGAAACTATTCGTATATTTGTGCCAAATATTTTTGTCTGCTGCCACTAAAGAGACCTTGAAACGTCTGCCCGCGCTCTTGTGCGCTCTCTCTCTCTCTCTGTCTCTCTCTGCTGTGCTGCAGCGGATGGTGGCGATAGTGGTGGCATGGCCAGGTTGAAACCCAAACAAAATGTGTCATAATCTTGCATTGCATAACCAGCGTCAATAACCGTTGCTTTGCTGTGGCTGTTGTTTGCTTTAACCGACGGAAAACCACTGCGAGGAAGGCGCCATCCAATTGTCTGTGCATTCGCTGCCACTTTTATGTGCTGCCTGACACACTGAACTAATGAGCAGCCATTGCCTGTGATTTTAATGGAGATTACAATATTTATCCCTTTTTCAGCTCTTTCTGTGCGTCGTGGCCTTCCTAGTGCACACATCGTCGGCCACAGTTCAGCCAAAGGCCCCAAACTTCCAGTACTTTGAAAGGTGAGTAGTTCAACGGTGATCCTTCCAAGGATTCTTTCATATCTCTTAATGCTCTTCTTAGACCCAAATACCGTTATCCCTACTACGATGAACATGGAAGAGGCAAGCTTTTATATGGCTATGGCGGACCGGAACTGTATCAGTACAAGACCTACACGCCGCTGGAGGGCATACACTGAGCCTTTATTTACGACTATTTAAACTATAGCTCATAAAGTTGATAATTTATGTACTTTTGCTTTATTTAATTTAATAAATATTTTGAAAATATAACGAAACACTACTAAATTGAACAATAGATGGCGCTGCTAACGAATACTGACGATGTCATAAAAGCGACATCTATGAATTTTCAGCGGCAGGAAGACTTATCGAATTCAAATTAGTAAACTCAACGAAAAAATGTGCCTCTTCAGCTCAACAATGTCCCTACACTTATTATGTTGCCATTGTTTTTTGTTGACCGTTTTTTAAACCTTGCTGTAATCGAAATGCAATAAAAGCAAGTATTGAGAATAAGCCAGTCATGTATAGAATTGATTCACCTATCGTACAAAATTAAGTGGGCATGGCTAAATGTTCCATATAGATAGTATTATTCAACGGAACAAAGAATAGGAGGAATTGGTCGTTTTTTTGAATCGAATTTGAATTCGCCGCAGTTCGCTTTAGCAACAATGAGTCTCATTCCACACACAAATGCTGCGCATTCCATACACACTGTTGCGGCAACATTTACTTGAAAACCGATTTTTTGTCGAAATAAAATACATAAAGGTAATTAAAAGAAGCAATCTTGTAGAAAATGCATTTATCTATGATAAAGCTAAGTGGGCAAATCTATATAGCTTGAAATATAGCAATACCCGATTCGCCGCAGTTTAGCTTTTGCAACAATGAGTCTCATTCCATACACAAACATGTTGCTAACTCCATGCACACATACCCTGGGGGTAATGGATGTTATATAATTGTGAATACGTTTGTCTTCCAAGGCTCAGAATCGAGATAAATATATACAATATACTAATAATACACATGAATAAGTCAAAAACATATAAATTTGAGAAAGGGTCTTAATAAATTGCGTTTGATCAACATATAAAATTAACAAAATAGGGTGCACAAAGGCCTATACACGCATCATGTCTTCAAATACTAGCAACATTGCGTTTGTTTTTTTTGTTGAACTATTTTGTTTAAACCTTGTTTTAGTCAAAATACAATAAAAGCAAGGACTAAAAACTAACCAATTGTGTAGAAAATTTATTCATCAATGGGCTAAAATTATGTGGGCATAGCTAAATGTTCTATATAGCTAGTAATATTCGACGGAATATAAAAATCGAGGAATATGTATAATAGAACTTGAATTCGTCAGCATATTTACGGTATATTTTTTAAATGAGACGGTATATTTCTGACGGTCTGGTCACACTGCGTTCCAGCCCTAATTTGAAACACGTTTTCAAAAAATTTTTCATTTTATTTCAAAAAGCGGCTGCGCTTGGTTCTTTTTTGTGTGCGTCGTCTAAACGTTGTATAGATTTTATAAAGAAACACGTGCTGTCCTATGCACGCTCGTTTGCTCAAACCCAGAGCTAGCGAGTGCTATTTTAAAGGACAAAGAGAAAACTAAACGACAAAATTACCAAAGTGCTCAGCTAACCCGTGGCTGTGCACTTAAATTAAATTGTCAGACATGAATGATTTATGCAACCCAGACCGCATGGCGCTCAAACATTAATCGGTGGCCTGATCCACACGTCGGCCACATTTATGCACGCAGCGCCAGATAATAGTAGGCAGCATTTAATAATGTATTGGTTCCAAATGACTCAGACTTTTGCATTTTGAGGTGTTAGCCACAAAGTGACTGCCCAGACTTTGGTTATGTACGATTCTATACAGACGACTTTTATTTTCTTTAATGATAGCCTTAAACTAATTTACACGTGAACCCTATTTTAATGTCTGGGCCGATTCTAGCAGGCGTTTCAGTTCCTCATTTTGGGACAGGGCCCTCTTGACGGCCATGAAGATCTGGGAGTCCATTTCTCGCGTCTGGTCCTGACTGAGGGACAGGGTGCTCACCCGCTTGGCCAGCTCCGCCAGTTTGGGCTGTTGCTTCAGGAAGCGATCTAGTACCTGGGGGGAGATGTTCGCCATTTCAGCTAGCTGGCGCACATGTGTGGCCACAGGAGGAGATTGCATCTCAACATCTATGTGCTTGGGCGTGTTCAAGTGGGGTACCTTATTTGGCCTGGGTGCCGCCGTTGTGCTGGGCACTTGAGTTGGCTTCGATGGGATCATCACAGGACGCAGTGGAATGGGATAGTGATAGGGTAGAGGCTGACGCACGAGAAGAGGACGCATGCGGGCCGCGCCTGGTGGCGCCACAAACACCGGCTTGAACGAGACGGCCGAAGGCATTGGCTTCCTAGTGGCTGGAGCTGGAGTCGTGGTGGTCTCCGACCATAGGCTGTACTTCTTCATAAAGTCGCCGAAACGTTGAAGAAGGCTTCCCTGCATCTCGGGTTTTTTGGTGGTTATGGTGGACCTACTCGTCGTCTCCAGTCGTGGGCGCTCGTCAAAGTCCGCTTCGACATCTGCATTGTCCATGGTATTGTCATCATCGCTAGCGTCGTCACCATCGTCGACGCTATCCGGCACATCTTCGGACAGCTCATAGTCCAGCGTCTCCAGATAATCTTTCATCAAGGCTATACCCTGTTCATTGGAGGTCAGCGAACGGACGTACTCGATAGTTTCACTATTGCTGCGGGTCCCAATTAACTGTCCAAGCTCGCTTATGCTCGGCAGCACCTTCAGGCCCAGCTTCGTTTGGGCAATCTCGAGCAAATCACTTGGGTACTCTGAGTTAGTTGGGACAGGGGCAGCCGTTGTAGTTGTGGTCGTTTGTACGCCTGGCTTTATCAGCTTGTAGACGGGGAAATTGTAGTACAAAGCATTCTGCAGCTTTGAGTCTAGTTTCGAAGGCACCTTTCGTTCCGCAACGACTATGACTGCACTATCCTGGCCGTAGAACTTTGGCATCAGGGTCACTCGGGCATTGATGCATTGGAGCAGAGCCAGAGGCCAGAGGAAACGCACCAGCAGACCAAACATTCTGCTCACTTCAAAGGTTAAAGGACAACTAACACAGATCAGCTCATCAGACATTTCGAAATAGACATTTGAACCATCAAACAGATCTGGTTTCATGGAAGTCGCTTCGAGGGTTTCCATGAATTCTCGAGAACGTGCTGAATCTACCTGCTGTGCCATAGAAAATCTCAGATTTCCATTGAATTTTCCACCTACGCGACGCGAAGGAATGCGTTTGCTTTTGTTACTTGCCCTACCTGCAGTATCTACAAAAGAATTTGTTTCAAGAGGGGTTCGTTTCGGGTTTCTGAGGGAGTTTGAGAAAATCTGAAAAAACGAAGGAAAAAGGATGCATATCGACACCCGGGATCCAGAAAATCTCGGAACTCTTTCAACTAAAACATGTTTTTATTATCGTAATTAAACCTTAAAGTGGAACACTCGATGGCTACGCGTGTGGTAAAAATCTGTAGCCATTGAGTCTAGTCATCGATCACTTAGCAACTAAGAGGAATTTTAAATTCGCAAGCGATCCGATCCGCATGAATTTTGGATCATTTGTATTTACATAGGGTTTACGTACGGGAATTTTGCAGGATAAAACAAATTGCAAACAATGGAGACTTCTCTTGTGTAGACTATGTAAACGATTCTTGCTCGGGGGCGGGGGACACACAAAATATGGACATGGGTCGGCGAAACTTTGCATGCCCTGAGGCGGGCAAAGCTATCAACACTTCGATACACCCACTAGGGCAGGGCGTATGCAACGCTCGTGTAGCTTGTAGCCCAATTTAGTAACCTCCACCACGGTGTTGGCCTCAACGGTTTTGTCCTCCTTCTGGAACAGAGCCTCGTGCAGATTGGGATCGAACTTCTGGTTGAGTGGGTCCACAGCTTCCAGACCGTGACGCTTGAACACCTGCAGCAATGAGGCGCGAGTCATGGTGAGACCCTCGTACAGGCTCTTCAGATCAGCATTGTCACCCAGCTATAAAGGAGGCGCAGGTTAGACTCGATTACTTTACTATGACATGGGGCAAACGTCATACCTTGTCCTTAGGCACTGCCTGTGTAGCGTGGCCGAGTGTGTCGGCGACCTCCAGCAGATCCTTGCAGAAGCTCTGGATGCCGAAGATCTTTGCATCACTTATCTGTTTGTTCAGACGCGTACGCATGTTCTCGCTCTCTGCCAGGGCGCGCTTATACTTGTCCATCAGTTCCGATTTCTGCTCCTTGGAGTCGGCCAGCTCTTTCGTGAGACGATCAACCTCCGGGGAGACGGCTTTTGGTTCCGCTCCAGCGGCAGATGCAGCGGCTTCCTCCGGCTGCTTCTCAGTGCTGTAGGGGCGTCCATTTGCCAGGGCTGTGGTGGCCTGACGCAAGAAACTATAGAACCCGGACAAATTGCGATAAGATGTTGTTGCAGACAAACGTGCGTTCATTACGTCACAGAAAAGAGGAAGAATGCGGCAAACTTACCTTGAATTGCGTGCACTGACTACGGCTTTGAGCTGGCTCAAGCTGCGGCCAAAAACTTGCAAGGATAATCCGGCTTTCGATGCCATTTTGAGTGAATTTTGTGGCTAAATTGTAAAAAAAATTAAATTACCCCCTCTCTATCGGTTTTAATCAGCCTGCTTTTTAAAGTGACCAAGCCCTCCCAGATAGCAATACCAAATTTCCGCAGTGTGGACAACCCGCCAGATGGCGCCAGTGGGTGAAGTGTTCAAATTATGGACCGTTTTAATTCATGCAAAGATTGTTTTAGCATTGCCTTCGGGTATCTATTATCCGTCTCACCTCTGCACGCCTTGGGGGGTAGGGAGCAATTAATTTACGCATAGTTTATAAATCTTTCAGACTGTGAACGCCCAGGAGGCCGCCAAAATATAGCTTGTTTGTAAAAGTTGCTCTAAATATGTAAATTGCCCCAGCTCCCGGCACTTTCTGCTGCCGCCCGGAGCACTTAATGAATTCAAAGTACGAGTGGGGCGGGCTCAGCATCTTATTCAACTTCTACTCTCGAAAATGTACAAACATTATTACATATGCGCATGCATTGTATATATTTTGGAAAACCAGGTGTGAAAAGGCATTTAGTTTCATTTCGCCACCGAATCAGTGCGGTTGTTCACGGTAATAACGACTTGAGCTTGAAATGCGTGAGGAGGACCTGGAGCTGGCCCGCAAAATGGTGGCCAATTTGATTTCCACATCCACGTCCGTGGAGGAAGACGACGAGGGTGCAGCAGCGGCAACGACATCATCGCCGGGGAATTCTCCACAACCCTTGAGAAGGCGCGTCTTAGACCTGAGTGAGAGGCGTAAACAATTTCGGTGAGTGGAGCCCATCCATAAACATACAAAAAACACAAAATGATGCTAATACATTTATTTTGGCAAAAAAAAAACCAATTCACATGCTCGGTAAATTTGCATATATCCGGAGCTAAATTTATCTTTCGTTCAGTTAGTCAAAAAACTGAATGGAAACCACTTTTGTGAATGAAAATACAATCATACATCTCAAATATAAGCAATAATATATTTCGAGCCTTTTCGAGCGCGCCTTTTGACTTTTTGTCCTACAAGTAATATGCGTAGCATCTCGAGAAACTGTTTCATTCCGTAGGAACTTACGTTTTTTCTGCTTTTAGAAAAATGTATATTAAAATTGGGAAGATGTTTAAAACGAAATTCCCTATAAATATTAGATATTCGAGGTACGCGAAATAGGGTCAAAGATAGAAAGCAAAATAATTATATGGGCATTTCCGACAAAAGGTCCACCATGACAATATACCTTAAAAGTCAATAAAAACCGAGTTCCATATACTTTTTTTTTTATGGATTGACACTTAATTTCTTTAACTTTGATGTGAAAATCGATTCAATTTTATAAAATCAAAATTCCAGAAAATTAAACTACTCTCGGCAACGGTATATTTTGTATTTAATTCAAAAACTTGCGAAACTAACGCCCAATACTTTATATGCAAGCATAACCCATTTTAAACAGATAACTCTAACTCAATTCGCAGAGTTTCACAATTTTTTAGCGCAATCTTATAGGTAGGGTATTTAATAGTTGTCTATTTAAAGAACTGTTTATATCGCAAAATATATATCGACATAGTGCTCTCCCTAACCGAAAACTGAAAGCACCATACAGGGTGACCACCTACGGTACATATATTATATATTTTTTGCATATTTCAACGTCGAAATTGAGTTAAAGCTACATTAACAGTATATAATGGTATATTTGAATAATATCTTCAATATATTTCAATATATATACTTAATTTTTATAGTTATATTTCCACCATGTCTAGCTCACACAACTTGCAAGTGTTTATAGTTTTCATAGTATTTTCCAGTATTTCCTTGTAGTTTCCAGTATTTTCGAAAGCGCCCTCTTTTCCAATGCCCCAATGTAGAAAACGTGTAGAAATGCCATTTATAGCCATGTCCCAGGGCTCATCGATTACTAATTCGTGATCGAAATCCTGATCGTTTGCCATCAAAATCTAAATTATTTCAAAAATTAAAAAAATTCATGTCAAAACGTGCATAACGCGGTTTTTTTTACACTGGCGCTTCCATGTGGCTTATATGAAACAAATGTTTTAAATATTCACCTTCCCTTTCAAGTGTCGCTTTTGATAATTACATACAAATGTAGTTCATATGTAACACTCGTGTAGTAGCGAAGTAAAATTAAGGACTTTTTGTTGTCCTTTTTTATTTAAACATTATTTTAGACGCAATTACATAAAGATGAGTGCTCAAAATTAATGCGACATTTAGCAAATCGATTCGTCAATCGGATAAAACTATGAGCTCAGCGCTGAGAGACTTAGCTAGCTAGTAATATTCAACCGAATATCAAAATCAAGGAATTAGATGGAATCTTAATACAAAAGATTCGTCAGTATATTTTGGTATATTTTGAAACTGTGACGTATAATTGCAATAAACAATGTCTTACGTCTTTAAATTTGTGTGTTTTAATGTTTGAAACAATTGTTATTGCCGACAACTGACCTGTGATATCTGCTTCGCAAGCACCAATGTGGACCTAAATTCATCTCGAATTGCTTGCGGCCAAAGAAGATGTCCGCCCCACTGACGCCAGCAGCGGCGGGGGACAGTCCAAAGCAGACACTGCCATGCCCATGCCCCATTGCAGACGCTGTGGATGGAGAGGGCGAGGTTCATCTGTTGCATGCCGCAGACCCAGCCCTAGCAACTTTGGAGGCGGCTTCTTCGGCGCCCGGCCTGGGTGGGGGGCATATGTCCAGCAGCTGGTGGTGGTAAGGCCTTATCATCTGCCTACATTTGCATGCTTCTCTACACGGTTCTTATCTAAGTTGATTGTGCGGTCTTGAACTGCCCAGCCAAGTCCCCCTCCTTAATGTATTTGTTGATTCAAGTTCCCTCCAAATTGGAAAGTGTTTCTTTGGTTATATTTTTGATTTGATTCATTCACGTGCGTTCTAATTTTGGCAATTGATTCGTACCACAGCAGCGGCTGCGTTATCAATTGAATAATTGCTAGCCAAGGCCGCCTCCACGCATGCGCGCGAAACGCAAACACTGCCCTGCCATCAGCTGTTTCAAGCGCTGCCCTGGCTTTTCATGAGACAAACAAACCAAACCAAACCCTGTGCAGCAGTTTTTCAGTTGTCGCTCGACAACGCGATCGCCCGGTGTTGCCTCTGCTCTAGTGGCTATTGCGTCAATTTTTCCGGCCAGCTGTGTGAAGTAATCAAGAGAAAACTCGGAAGAAAAGTGTCACCGTGACAACGAAAATCAAAACAAGCAAGCGAATTTCGTTTCAAATCATCGCCTAAATGCATTTCTGATTACCCGTTTTTCCAACGCTGATAAAACACTTTCTCTTTTTCTGTTTAACTTTACCCATTATCTCTCCTCGGTGGTGTACAAGCGTTGACACACATCAGGGCATACAATATTTTGGTGTCTCATCAATCATACACGTGAATACTTTTGTTTGTCTGCGTGGGCGTGATATTTTCGAAACGAATTCCATTTTGAAAACAAATTTAACCTTGGGCCCTTTAAAAGAACTCGAGGCGGTCTGACTGCATTCCAAAATACTCGCACATACAAAACTGCAGTCCCAAAATCGTTACTCGTCGGTTGTCTCCCAGATATGGCCTGTCTCTCGGACATTGATTTGGCGACCCTCCATGAGCATCGGCTTAAGCAGCGCTGGCACTATGGCCTGGCAAATTATTCGGACTATCATCATCACCAGGATGGGTTCAATGCCATGACGCGACGTTGCCTGGAGCGTAGTCTGCATAAACCAGACACAGACCCGAGGAAAGTCCAAAGAGATTTGAATGGCAATAGCCTGGATGCATTTGACTCGTCTGGCGGCGCCGATAAATCTGATCTGGACAACAACTGCTTTGCGTCAGGTATGCAACGGCAACGCTCCGGCACATGGCCGTAAGTCCAGCACCCATTTCCTAGTCGATAAAATTACGCTGTGTGTAAAGAGTGGATCGGCTTCATAAATTAGAATATGTAATATGAATCAGTTCTTGGGATGCACTGAAACTGTTTTCGATCGAGGCAAGGAACGCACGACAGTTGCGGCCAATGTAATAGTAGTGCTTAGATTTACATGGAATTTCGCAAAGTTTTGAAGAAAAACATTTGTTTGATTGGAATATCATCTCAAGAGGAATTTTTTTACGGCGAATATCAAATTTCGGCTAATGTTTCGATTGCAGCATAAAGGAAGGTCTGTTTTGTGCTTGGTTCTATTCTACTCTAAAAGATTAGCAACTGTAAATCATTTGGTCATCGTTATTTTGATCTCTTCTTTAGTTATTCTTTAGCACAAGAAATCACTCTCCGACAGCACAAGAGTGAGAACTCTCTCTATCTCTTCTTTCGCTCTTGCTTCTTTAAAACCTCCATTTGCATTCAAGTCCATAAACCGTTTTGTAAGATTAGCCATTGCCTTGAAAAGTTCAGAGAACGCGTTCAAAAGTTATTACAATTTAATAATGCATAGTTAAATAGTACATGAATTGCAGCATGTTTCCAATGAAAGCGGATAAGTCGATGACTTCAGGGTCATTGTTTCCCCAGCATAGCTCTCTGAGCATTGAGGAGTTTAATAACTTGGGCTGGGAGCAAGGCAACGATTGCAACAACAACTGCATTCGGGGAGATCCAAGGGAAAAGGTGCTCAGAGCACATCGCATTTTTAGGTCTGGGCTTAGATTTATTGTTTATTTTTATAATCATAAAATAATAAAACAATTTCACTTACCATTCCAGGCGAACGCGCAGCTTGAATGCCCCGTCGCCATTCCAGCAGTTCGGACCATGCGGACGCATTATGAAAAACTCCGCCATGGTGATGCAGATTCAGGATCCGGCCAGCCAGCGCCTGACCTGGTACAAACCGCCGCTCACAGTCCTAGTGATCAAGAAGGTCAGCGATGCCTCGGTGCTGGCGCCGTTTGTCCAGCTGGTGGACTGGCTGTTGCAGGAAAAGAACATGGTGGTTTGGGTGGAGTCGGCGGTGCTGGAGGATGCCCACCTCAATGAGGATGTCAAGTTCAAGGCCATCAGGGAAAAGTTGGTCACTTTCAAGTGAGTCTACATGAGTACGCATCAAGATCAATGAATTCCAATGTCTTTTTTCTGCCCGAAAGGGATGGGCGCGATGATCTAACCGATCGCATCGACTTTATTGTCTGCCTTGGAGGGGACGGCACATTGCTGTACGCCTCCCAGCTGTTCCAGCAATCAGTGCCGCCTGTGATGGCATTCCACTTGGGCTCACTGGGCTTTCTCACACCCTTTCGATTCGACAATTTCGAAGAGCAGCTCACCAGCGTCTTGGAGGGTCATGCTGCACTCACGCTGCGCAGCCGCCTTCGCTGTGTGATGCATCGCAAGGGTGACAAACGGCAGGAGGCCAAAGTGGAGGCCAACGCAGATGCAAGACCTGCTGCCAACAGCATCCTCGTGCTAAACGAGGTGGTCATTGATCGCGGACCGTCGCCGTATCTCAGCAATATTGATTTGTTCCTCGATGGCAAGTACATCACCTCCGTGCAGGGCGATGGCCTGATTGTTTCAACTCCGACTGGGAGCACAGCGTATGCGGCAGCAGCTGGTGCCTCCATGATCCATCCCTCTGTGCCAGCCATTATGGTAACTCCCATTTGCCCGCACTCTCTGAGCTTCAGGCCTATTGTGGTGCCTGCGGGAGTGGAACTGAAGGTGAGTAAATAGTTCCTTTTCAATGGTACCTTTTTTAATTGATCCACTATTCCCCATAGGTCTCCGTTTCGCCTGAAAGTCGCAATACTTCGTGGGTCTCATTCGATGGACGCAACCGTCAGGAGCTGTTCCATGGCGACAGCCTGCGTGTGACCACCTCCATTTATCCTGTTCCCTGTATATGTGCCCAGGATCAGATATCCGATTGGTTTGCATCCCTCGCCGATGGCCTCCATTGGAATGTGCGCAAGCGCCAGAAGTGCCTCGACGAGCTGTCGGATCTGACGGCATCCGGCTCCGAGGACACGCTGGACGAGATGGAAAATATGAAATTGTATGATATTTAGTACGTATGTATGTAAGTCGCTGCTGGCAATTGTATTCGTGGGCTAAGCTTCACGGCAGGCTTTTAGTTTTAGTCGAGTCTTTGCAATCGCTTCAATGTAATTCGAATATGTTTAAAGTCGTTTCATAGTCTGTAATTTGGTAGAATTTGCATATTTGCCAATTATACTCGTATTTACAATATTATGAGCTGAGCCAATTGTTTGGCAAACTTTGCTCTTGTAGTTCTTTGATCATTAAGATTTTTTGCAACGCTTTGTAGATTTACCTACGTGCAATACTGTTCATTTGGAAGAGGCACAAAAACTCTGTCAAATCTTTGTAGAGAGGTAATACCGATTTCATTGTTACAGAAACACACCCGCAACGAGCATTGCCTTGCCTTTTTCCAATCAACTTAATGTACATATGAGTAAATTCTGTAGTTTAGCTTTATAGTTGTTAGATATTTCGTATATAGACTCGTTTTGAGCCCCGTCTCTCTGGCGTCTGGCCACTTGTTGCATCTTGCTCACCTCGTGCCTGGCTCGTACGCGGCTGCTGGCCGTGCTTGCTTTATTTGCTGGCACCACTGATACGCACTTGGGGCTGTCAAAAAAATTTGTTTGCGCTTATTTACATAGAAAATGCGAAAGTGAAGCCGCCATCGCGTAAGTAAGACGACTATTCGCCAGACGCGCCCTCAGGCCGTACAAGCGAGGCATTACACGGCAAAGATTTTTTGCCATTGTTCGTGATGTGCGATGTGTTTTTGCCTTTTTTGTGAGCTGAATTCAAGGTGTGCGAATCTGTCGGCGTGTGCGTGCGGCAGGTGTGCGGAGCGTGCTTATCTAGTTATATGAGATTCACAAAATCTCCCAATAGTCGACTCTGAGCGTTTCCAGCGTGCGGTTGTGTGTTGTGTCAGTTTGCATTTAGAATTGGGGAAAATGAATCCAGAAGATATGCAGCGTGCCCGACAAATGGTCAACGTGGAGGCGACACAGCCCTTAGGCTCCCCCACGTCGTTGAGAAGAACGCTGGCTGGTAATTTACTGGACAAGCGTACACAGTTTCGGTAAGAAAATGTGCCAAAATCCCAAAATGTCCTTGAATAAGGCAGTGCTTCTCTGTTTTCAAATAGTAACTGCTAGTGCTACATCAATGAGCTTCTTGACATGCTCTTAAGCAGTCTGTTAAGTCATGCTGTACAGAAATAAGCACCACAACCAAGTATTTGGTCTAAAGATGCAGTTATTTCTCTTTCAGATTAGGCGTTGTTTCGCCTATGCATATATTAAAATATTCCGATTTTTATAAACACACAATATAGTATAGTATATAGAGGCAGCCTATAGCAAATTAAATGTTCTGTAAGCCGCAAAATTCGCACATGTGGTACCACCGCCGACCTAAATTTCCTTTATAGTGGTATGCCGTATAGAAACTTCCTTTTCATACAATTTTTTCCGTACAATTTTACGTTTTATGGTTTGGCCTTAGTGGCTTAACCTTATTTTAGATTAATACAACAAAAAGGAATCCAGTCTCTAAAATTAGCCAATCTCTTAGAAAATTGATTCTGTAATCGTATAAAATTAGAGAGAGCTGAGGATCCTAGCCAGTGCCACCAGGTTTTCAGAGCTAGAACCGAAAAAAAAACTAAAACTAAATACACCCCAAAAATATAACATTTTGTGGTTTTAGTGATTTTGTTATACTAGCTATAAATATATACAGCTTCAGCTAGAGCTTCTTAAGAACTTAAAAATTATAGGGTAGTCTGAAATTTAACAGAACCAAAATCTTGCATAAAAAACGAGATCGAAAAATTGTTGTTCAACAAAAAATCCAGAAAATATGTATGTAATTTACATTTACAACAAAAATTTGCTGAACAGCTTATATAATTTGCTAGTTTTATCAGCCGTCAGCACTGGTCCTAGTTTGCAGGTAACATTCAACCGAATTAACCCATTGTCGACCAGTGGATACTAAAAAACACTTCACGAAACTATAACTTGAAGAATTTTAGCGCAGTTCAGGTGAAAGATATCGTGTGGTTTTTGTAAGTAGAGAGGGTGGATCTACAAGCAACAGTATTATTTTTCGTGGTATAAATAGTTGTTTACCTGTTTAAATAGAGGGGCTAAAACTATATCATTTTGTAGTATTTTCCAGTATTTCCGAAGACGCGATATGGACTTACCCTCTTTTCCAATGCCCCAACTGTAGAAATCGTGTAGAAATGCAATTTAGAGCCAGGGCACATTGATTACTAATTCGTGATCGAAATCCTGATCGTTTGGCATCAACATTTTCCAAAATGGGAAAAATACATGTCAAAAAATGGATACCGGCATTGGCACTTCCACTTATATGAAAAAAACGGCCAAAAATTTCAAATGTACACCTTCCCTTTCATGTGTCGCTTTTGATAATTACATAAAAATGTAGTTAATACGTAGCAAATGCGTAGTTACCATGTACAAACAATAATTTACTCCAAATTTACATTGACCTTTTTTGTTAAACCTCATTTTACAAACAATTCAATAAAGATAGGTACTTCAAATTAAGTAGAATTGTAGGGAACTGATTAATAAATCGGATAAAATTATGAGTTCAGCGCTGAGGGTCCTAGCCAGCTAGCAATATTCAACCGAATATCAAAAGCCAAGAATATGATAGAATTTGAATACAAATAATTCGTCGGTATATTTCGGTATATTTTGAAACTGTGACGTATCGCAAAAACAATAATTGTTTATTGTTGTTTGTCTTGTTTTCATTGTTGCCTTACTTTAAATTTGTGTGTTTTAACAATGGCCGACAACTGACTGGCCTGTGATAACTGCTCCGCAAGCTCCAATGTGGCCCTAAATTCATCTCGAATTGTTTGCGGCCAAAGAAGAGACCAAAGAGGCAAATGTCAAAAAATTCTTTGTGCAACAATAATAAGGTGCAGGGCAGTGTGGACAAGCTGCAGCAAATCTTTCCGAGAAGGACAGCAGCTTAGGCGGGCCTGTGCAACGTCTAAAACGAAAGACAGGAGTCAGGCAGGTGCTTCGCGTTTGTAGGTCAAACCAGAGCCTTCGACGTGTGTCGTATTTGTATACACCTCCCACGCATACATGCGCAGGACAGAACAAGTGATTTGACCAGCATGACGTCCTCGTACCACATTATGATGTCTGCAGCCACCTCGCCAGCTCAAACAGTGCCAAAGGCCAATTCCATGGCTTCGGGGGGAGTTGGGTCAAACAATTCCAACGGCGGCGGGGGCTCCTACTACGACGATCATGAGAATCACCTGCTGCATGTAAACAGTGGTCGTCTCAGCAGTGCCGCGGCCTCCTCCGCCCCAGGTCCCACCAATGGGGGGCCTGGCAGCGATGCGGAAATGCGCTGGTGGTGGTAAGTGGACCTATGTTTTTGCTACAATACTGTAGTGCACTTGCCATTTACCTGTTAATCAATTAGTGTGTTTGCCAAAATGTTTCGTTTTGAAGTGGTCTGGCAATCCACAGTCTGCAAACAAAACCTCTGCTAAGCGACTGTAAACTGTCTGCTGCCACTGTTATTGCCCTGTCAATGAGTTTATTATTGAGTTTATATAACAGTAAGTCTACAGAGCCCACCTGTATATTTGTGTCTCAGTCAAGGGTTTAGTGAGTGAGTTTTATTATAGATGATGGAGTAGCAACTGGCCAATGCCTCACCTTATGGATAGACCATGCACCAGGCACTCGATCAGTCGCGTGGCACTTGCGCTCAGCTGTTGCCCCAGCGATCATATACTTTATACTTTTATTTTAAAATCGGAATCGCACGAAACATTTACAATTTAATCACCTTTTTAGCGTCTCAGTTCGGTTTCGCATATTGACTGGACAGCACGGTCGTGTTCGCGCTGCGCTCTCTCTCTCTCCAACGATCTCGTTGGCACGATCACCCTCGGAGCTCGCGCGATTTGAACGTCCAGCGATCTGTTTTGTTTCGGTCGTTTACCTGGTGGCGCTGGTCAGCTTTAAAGCTACCCGCCCCTGTCTCTTCGGCTCCGATTCGCGCCTCATTTTGTGCTAAAAAGAAAATATAACAATTATATAACGTGTAATTAGAGTAATTTGTTGGTTGTCTAGCCTCAAAACTTGGCTTACCATTTCTGTGGGTCAGTCCCAGTTTCAGTCCCGTCCCACTTTCGGTTTCTTTCTGTAGGCCAACAGACCGACCCCTATACATTAATCTCCTACCAGAACAATCGACACTACACTATCTTTGCATTGTGGTTCCTATTCACTTGTACCCATGTGCCTGCTGTTTACGAAAGGCTTCATTATCAGCGTAGCGTTATATGCCGGCACGTTGTGTCTAATAAAAGGGGGGGTTTCCTTCGTGTTCGATCTTGTCAATGATAATTACTAATCTTAATTACTAGTAGTGCGCATTTTGTTGCTGGCTTGGCTCTCTCAGCTGATTAATTAATTTCGATTTTCTTTGTGCAATAAATCACTTAAAATTCGCTTTATGCACTCGTCTATGTACATATTTTGTCAGCTCTAAGTAGAGGGTGTGCCTTGTCTCCTTTGTTTATTTTACACAAGCAATTTCAATGATTTGTAATAATTTACTTTTTGCTTCCTGGTGGCAGTACGAGTAGAAGACAAAGGGAACTATGGATCACGCGATCCACTAATTAAGTTGAATGTTATTTTTGTAATGATTTGATTCTTGTGATGCAATCTTTTACGTAATCAACTACTTCCATACAAAAGCTTTCCATCAGATTCCGATTCATTCGTGAAATTCAAAATCAGCTTAAACCAAGCTGAGGGAAGACTTATATATGTACATATATCTTGCGTAGAAATTTGACCTTCCATGTCCACTCAAGAGAATCGACCTATGTTAATGAACTGTTAATGAGGCACTCTAAAAGAGACCGAAAATTATCTTTGTACACACAGGTCACGATTTCCAGACTAATGGCCCGCGATACTGTTATGCCCAAGTGGGCTGTGAGCTTTATAACAATTTAATTGTGGGCTAAGTGAATGTTTTTTCGAGTTTTCCTTATTAAAAGGTCTTTGACCAACGCTATGCCCAAAAAAAGAGCCTCAAATATGATTAATTGTGTTCATATGTTTCGCTAAATACATAACTACATAAGTGCTGTAGTTTTAAATTTAGCTTGTGCAAGGTACAGACTGCAAATTGATGTATACTTGACATGCTTTTTGGGCTTAGCCCAGCTATAAATGTTGGCCAAGTACGTTGCTTCCATCCCTCTTATGCTTGAACGGAAGCTGGCTAATGACGCATTAAGCCTTGGCCCTTTCATCTCCCCCACTCTGCAGTCCTCTCTCTTTCTCTCTGGCTCTCTTTTTGATAGCTCTTTGTTGACGTCAAAGCCGGAACTACGCAAAGTCCGTTATGTTGACCAAAAAAATTAATGAATAAACAACTATTTTATGGCCAATAACAAATTTATTTTGCACAAATTTCCAAATAAACGGAAACCGGTTAGATACTATACTAAATCCAGACGTATTTGAAGTCGGATCGTTTATTTTTTTGTTTATCAACTTTTACACACGCGGCAAAGGCTGAAGACCACCGATATCACTCTTTATCATAAAAAATGCGTGGTGCATTCTAGTGTTTGTTCGTGTTCCTGGTTATTTGGTTAACAAAAACTTTTAACGCTTTTACAATAAGGGGAGCAAGGTCGATGTTGTTTACCGTTTTGCCCAGCTCAGGGACGTTTTGGGCGAGTTGGGACCCAGAAATGTGAAGTGAAATAAAATGGGAACTAATATTCCAGTGTTTTTCAGTTGATTGAACCAAACAAAAATGTGTTAGAACCAAACGTTGATTAATTGATTGTTTGACGACAAATCTGTGTGAATCGTAAAGTGATATAAAGAAAATCTAAAGCCTATAAATATGACGTGCCTTTCGGACATTGATCTGGCAACCCTGCACCAACATCGTCTCGAGGAGCGCTTCAGTTATAAGCTGGCCTGGAGCGGCACAGCCCATCAGCAGACCCAATACAATGATCTGCTGGTGCGGCATAATGCCTCCCTTAAGCGGCAAAGAATCATCCAGCAAAAGGCAAACCAGGCGAGTTCCAAGCCCAGGGAACAAGGCGAATCCACAACAAACACGGCCAGTAATCAGAATAGCCAGCTGACCAAGTCCGAGGACGAGCAAGACGATGGCTACTTCGATTCATCAACCCGACGCAGGCGTAGTGGCACCTGGCCGTAAGTACTTCGCTGTTCGAACCCATCCCATTCCGTCGCAAGCGATTCGATAACCCTGAACGTCGGGCAACAGCCCAAAAAACAATTGTGGCAATGTTATCAGGACATCGGACATTTGTTCGGAGCATGCTCTGATAGGAGAGGCGGCTGGTGGCTCTCTAATCAAGTGTTGCCTTGTCATTGGCCCCATCGGGTCGACTAAGGCGTAAAAGGCGTTGTATGCATTCAGGCGGTTTGCTTATCAATTGTTTACTCAGAGAGAAAAAAGCAACTAATTTAAGTAAATATCACGTATGCATAATCAGAATTTATTGATTTTCACATGTCATCATGATGATCACCAAAAATGCCGATATGTGCAGAGATCTTAGTGGACTGATCTAAAATCGAAGTGCTTTTAGAAGTCCTTGACCTTTCTGCATATTTGAGTGCTTGCAGCGCGTTTTTTTATACCCGATACTCAAAATGAGTATTGGGGTATATTAGATTTGTGGTAAAAGTGTATGTGTGTAACGTCCAGAAGGAATCGTTTCCGACCCCATAAAGTATGAATATTCTTGATCAGCATCAATAGCCGAGTCGATTGAGCCATGTCTGTCTGTCCGTCTGTCCGTCTGTCCGTCCGTCCGTCTGTCCGTCTGTCCGTCCCCTTCAGCGCCTAATGCTCAAAGACTATAAGAGCTAGAGCAACGATGTTTTGGATCCAGACTTCTGTGATATGTCACTGCTACAAAAATATTTCAAAACTTTGCCCCGCCCACTTCCGCCCCCACAAAGGGCGAAAATCTGTGGCATCCACAATTTTAAAGATACGAGAAAACCAAAAACGCAGAATCGTAGAGAATGACGATATCTTTTAGACTGCGGAATCTGAATTGGATCGTATTATTATTATAGCCAGCATCAAGAAAACAATTTCATTTTTTCTCGCCCTGTCTCTCTCTAACACACACGTAGCATAGGCGGCTTTGCTTAGAGTAAAACATTAGCGCCTAGATCTCAGAGACTATAAAAGCTAGAGCAACCAAATTTGGTATCCACACTCCTAATATATCGGACCGAGACGAGTTTGTTTCAAAATTTCGCCACACCCCCTTCCGCCCCCGCAAAGGATGCAGATCTGGGGATATTCATAAATCTCAGAGACTATTAAGGCTAGAGTAACCAAATTTGGTATCCGCACTCCTGTTAGATCTCACTATAAAACGTATATCTCAAAATTTCGCCCCACCCCCTTCCGCCCACACAAAAGACTAAAAACCACAATATTGCAAAATCGAGTAAACTAAAAACGCAGAATCATAGACAATGACCATATCTATCCGGTTGCCGAATCTGGATCAGATCGGATCATTTTTGTAGCCAAAAGCAAGAAATCAATTTTTAGTGGCTACGCAGCGCCCGACGTCACGCTCAGACTGATTTTCTGTCTCTCTCGCACGCACTCTTTGTCGTGTCATTTAATATTAGCGGCGTCTGCCGGAGGAGAGCCATACTGACTTAGTATCGGGTATAACTGTAGAGTTGCGGTGTCCGCAGCAACTCACAACGTTCCCCCTCGTTTTCATTATTTTTGGCCAAAAAAACAAACAAGTTTTTTAACACCTTGTCTATTGGCATAACGATGGCGCCGTCTGTTAATTTATGGTTATCTGATATGTGTGTAGGTTTTCTCTTCAGCTACTATTTCTGAACGATTTGTTTTGAAGAACCTGAGACACTGACGCGACGCCGTGGCTAAGTGCCAGTTAAACTTTTTGTGAATCGGTGCCAGTTTGTGCTTGGCGCGATTCATGAAACAACAACAAATTAATAAATTAAAATATATTCAGAAAAACAAAAAATTAGTGACTGACGCTGCTCGTGACCACTTTGGCGGGCCGTGTTCCAAAGGTTTGCATCGGCCAGGTCAGGCAGTTCAAGCCGCATTTGCATGGCCTGTCTGGCTCGGATTCGATTATACCACCCATAGACTCGTTAATGCCCGGGGGAAATGGAAAACGAATTCAAGGTGTTCGAAAGGTTTACAGCGACTCAACGATGGCTGCAAACTTAAGTTTTGTCATGCTGACGTCGTCGTTGAAGTTCTTTCCTGTACGAGTACAAAGTACCTACAATATCTATTATATTCGTTACTTGGTTGGGGTTCGTACTTGGCTTCCAGTTTAGTTCCAATCGAGTGGCGTTGGCGGTCGAGCAAGTGCAATTAACGAGCGTTCACTGCGAAAAATGCCGTGTAAGTGCTGGCCAACTGGATAGCCGGTGAATGAATGTGAATTTCCTTTGCAACAATTATCGAAACAAGATCATTATTTGTCCTGCAATTTATCAGAAATTGTGCGTCACTGGATTCGCTCGTTGTGTTTTTTAAACCACTTGGTTATTGTTCCGCCTTGCCTTGGGGTTGAGTCGATAAAACATTGATAAAAAGGGGCAAAGTGGATACAACTTTTTCAATTACAGAAAAAATAAAAATAAATTGAATCTTTTGACTTTTTTGGAATTTGTTAAAGAAAATGTAGAACGACTATAACTATTTTAATATTTCAGACGATAATGCGATCTATCTGTCCCACTGTGTGAGATTTACTTCTAGGGTTTAGCATAGCCTAGCTTATGGCTCTCTCTTTTCCTCTCTTTTGTCTGGCTGTTCCCGATTCGCTCATCTCTGGATGAGTCAGCGCAAACATGTCTCAGCTCGCATTAGCACATCAATCAAACCCGTTATTATGCGATGCTTTGAGGTCTAACCCACCCACACACTCACACACAGACGCACACCACTCAAGAGTCAAACGAAACGTTTAAAGTTCAGCATGCGCATGGTGTATATTTGGTGAGGTGAGACATAGTCACTCTTCTAGTTTCCTATTCTCCTTGCCACTCTCTCGCACTCTCGGAAACAGTACATGAGCAGATGGAATGTATGCAATTCCCACAGTTGGCACGTATTGGCTGGAGCGTTTGACGGTTTATGGAAAATTGATCAGAACACTGATCTTTTTAGAGGGCCAGCCCCATGGATTCCAGAGGACTATACTCTCAGAATGCCTCACTTTATATTAATACATCTTGGGCTGGCTCTCTTGCTACCATCTCTCTCTCCGAAACACTCTCGGTTAGCATGTGCAATTCCTGTTTGTTTGCGACTGAGAGATTCAACAAGTTTATTCACGCTGGGGTCCCCCCCTCCGCGCAGCTCTTGCCTCATCCGCTGCCGCTGGTGTTGTTGTAATGAAAACAAATATATAAATACGTTGTATACCTTTATTTTGTTGTTTTCGAACACAAAAATCGGCCGGCCAGTGATTTTGTAACCTTCGCACGAGCCACAACGTCCGCCGAAGCACAAATTCCAACAAGTTTTTTTTCTCCGTTTCCATCATTTTGCGTTTACTTTGTGTGGAATCGCACAAAATAAGATCGAAAACTACTAATTTTGGAGAGGAATAGGGCGTGACCATCGATAGATTGGCACTCTAGAGACACTTATCTTCAAATGCAGCATCAAAAGTTGCGACTTGCGGCGACCCTGCAACGTCAGGGTTCTCTGAGTGCAGCAGCAGCCGTTGAGGAGGCGGAAGAACAAAAGCAACAAGTAGCCCAGGCACCCGACCCGCGCATTTTGAGGTTCCGCCCAAGCTCCGGATCTCCTCTCCAACTGGCACTATATCTGTATTCTGTCTATATCCTTTCAGGCGCACCCGGAGCTTGAATGCCCCGTCGCCCTTCCAGCAGTTCGGACCATGCGGACGCATTATGAAAAACTCCGCCATGGTGATGCAGATTCAAGATCCGGCCAGCCAGCGCCTGACCTGGTACAAGCCACCGCTCACAGTGCTGGTGATCAAGAAAAAGGACTCTCAAGTGCTCCTGCCGTTTGTCCAGCTGGTGGAGTGGCTGGTGCAGGAGAAGCACATGGTCGTGTGGGTTGAGTCCGCCGTGCTGGAGGATAAGCTGCTGCGGGACGATGTCAAGCTGGAGAACGAGAGCGCCAAGTTCCGACAGGTGCACGGAGACTACTGTGGCGTGCGTGAGCGTTTTCTGGCGCTGCGCGAGAAGCTGGTGACATTCAAGTGAGTCTGAAATGGGAATGGCCGCCAGGTGGTGCTCAATTCTAACTGGCTTCTCTCTTACAGGGATGGTCGCGATGATCTAACCGATCGCATCGACTTTATTGTCTGCCTCGGAGGGGACGGCACCTTGCTGTACGCATCTCAGCTGTTCCAGCAATCAGTGCCGCCCGTGATGGCCTTCTATCTGGGCTCACTGGGCTTTCTTACGCCCTTCCAGTGTGATAACTTTCAGGAGCAGGTGACCAATGTACTGGAGGGTCACGCTGCCCTCACCCTGCGCAGCCGCCTGCGTTGCTCCATCCATCGCAAGGGCGAACGCCGCAAGGAGTCGCTCCAGCCAGCCGGCAGCAACCTGCTGAAGCCAAGTCATCATCGTTACCTGAACTATATAGAGCTCAACAATGGAGCATCCTCTGGTGCCAATAACAATTACTGCAACCCGCATATGTCATCAAACAACAGCATCCTGGTGCTCAACGAGGTGGTTATCAATCGTGGCCCGTCGCCATATCTCAGCAACATTGATATATTTTTGGATGGCAAGTACATCACCTCTGTTCAGGGCGATGGCCTGATTGTGTCGACTCCGACTGGGAGCACAGCGTATGCGGCAGCAGCTGGTGCCTCCATGATCCATCCCTCCGTGCCGGCCATACTGGTGACTCCCATCTGTCCGCACTCGCTGAGCTTCAGGCCCATTGTGGTGCCAGCAGGAGTGGAGCTGAGGGTGAGTCCTAAGTGAATCCACTTTTCGATCGTCTAATATCGCCTCATTATTTGTACCTAGATATCCATATCGCCGGATAGCCGCAACACCTCGCGCGTCTCCTTCGATGGACGCAACGACCAGGAACTGAATCATGGAGATAGCCTGCGGGTGACCACCTCCATCTATCCCGTTCCCAGCATTTGCTCTCAGGATCAGATCTCTGATTGGTTCGACTCACTCGCCGAGGGACTCCATTGGAATGTGCGCAAGCGCCAGAAGTGCCTCGATGAGCTGTCGGACCTGACGGCCTCCGGATCGGAGGACACGCTCGACGAGTTTGACAATCTGAAGATCTACGATGCGAGTGGTTCTTCCCTGGATACTTGAGTGCCCAATTAGCTTAGTTCTAGAGCTAATTCATAGGGTTTTCCTGTGTGCAATTTTTTAGGCTAAGAAATGTAGCGAAAATACTCTATTGTAATATTGAAATATGTATATATGCAATTACATAAATCACCTGGTTGAGTTGAAGTGTTAAATGTTAATGGAAAATGATTGCAATAATTGTTTAAGCTAGAAAAATTTCTGTTGTTGCTTGTGAACAAATCCGCTTTGGCATAGCTTTTAAGTTTGAATTATTACTCTTTAATCGGCGATGGCATCGAGTTCTCCGTACTTAAGCAGAATCTCGTTATCTGTACAATTCGAAGAAGGTAATAAAAATTGTATTATTAACTCAAAGCGCCACAAAATCCATTTCACTCCAATTTACTCTTTGAAGCAACAGCACAATAAAAGTCCAATTAATTAGATGAGCAATGGATAAAACCAGAACGGAGGCAATCAACATGGACTCGTGAAAAGGCACTTAAAGAGTTCGAGTAAGTGCGGTGCTTCGGTACGAACAGTCTCTGGATGATGGATGAATTGAAGGGACCAAAGAAAGGAGTGTCCACCCCTATGATTTTTATCATTCACAAGCCCATTGAGAGGAAATTGTTCAAGAGGTCATAACTTTGATTTGAAATCTTGTTTTGGTAGAATCATAATCCTTTTAGCTACGAGTACTATACTGGATCTAATCCATATAATTCATAAGATTGATCGTTACCAAAGCTTCCAGAAATGGTTTGTTCTTTTGCCTACATCTCATTTGAATGTGGACGTTTCTGCGGATGGTAAATCTTCTACTCGGCTATGTGCCATAGCTCCGGGGGGACAGCGCTCAAAAGTTGACCACTTCCGGTTCATTCGAACCCATTGTGGAGCTCGAATTGTAAATGGTTTTAACATGATTATTGCCGAACTGTCCCTGCCCCTGCCCCTGGTACTGTCCGCAAGCCCTTATGCGACAATTGTTTAAGTGCAAGAGCCGCGCCATAAATCAAAAGCATAAAAGGAAAGCCAACTGCCATAAATGTGGCTAGAAGTGTTCTATGTTCCCTGCCGTTGCCTCTCTCTCCACCTTTCCGGGTGCGTGTGTACGTGCCAAGTGCGTTTATTATCAATTTGCACGCTTTTCCAGCGGCTCCTTCCCGGCCGCACATGGCGTGCAACAAGTAGAGCCGAGCAAGGACCTCAGCATCCTTCCGCTTCGTGTCCCATACATCTTACTGGCGGATAAACGCATTGCGTATTATCCGACCCATCCGATTGGTGGACTTCGGACACGCCCCGTGAATCCAGCATTGCGCAGGCCTCGTCTTCCGTACTCGTGCCTCAGGATGAGGGGGGAGGTCCTTGTCTGACAAATTAAATAAATGGCATCAAGCGTATATATTCAATTAATTTTTCTTTTATTCGTATTCTTTATCCTCTTTAAACCCACTTAATCGGGTCAAATGTAAAGCTTCATAGTTGCGGATTTGAGCTGAGAAAAGAGAGAGCAGAATAAGAATTAATTCAACAAAGAATTAAATAAAAGATACATTCTTTACAAATGCAAATAAATTCTTTTCTGAATCTTTAACCAATCGATCAACAACTTTACTTTCACTGAAAGCCAACACCGAAAACCCTTCCTTTCCTTCCTTCAATGCAGCATTGTCAGTGCCCTTTCCTTTTGCCGCAATAATTTTTCAAAATATTTGCGGAATTTCTTAATGAAGGCGTGCTCATGCTGGGGGACTAAGACAAATGCCAAGGGGAAAGGCTAAAACCAAACCCAACTATGCCAAACCAGCAGCCGAAGTCGAAGCAGGAGCTGAAGATGAAGATGATGTGGCACGTGTTGATATTCCAATTGAATGCCACCAAATATGCGGTACTCCATGCACCCACACGCACAGAATGGGACTTATCGTCATCTCATCGCATGCTCATCCCTCTGTATAAAAATGAAAAATATTTCCCTCTCATGCCAAGGGTGACATTTGAACGTTGACTGGGGCCACACTCGTGAATTTAAATAGATTTCGCAAATGCTAATGACAGCTCCGCTCCAGCCCGTCCAGGGGGAAGTTTTGTCCGGCTCGGTCGCTCCTACACTGCCTTTCAAACAAAAGGAAATTAAACAATTGCGGTCGAATGAATTTGTCCCGTTTTCCATCTCCTTCTTTCTGCTTTTCAGCCTTTTTGCTTTAGTGATAAGACTTGACTACAAGGCAGAGATTGTCAACGGAATGACCCGCATATGTTGGAGTGTCCTGCTAGCAACATTTGTCATCGACGTAACCATAACCCCAGCGAGGCCGAGTAAAGCTGTCATATGTGGCAAATTCAATTTGTCAGGCCCCACATTGTAAGGGACTTGAGGCTTTTAGCTCTGACCAACTGCCATATTGCCGCTGCTCACGGCCCAAAAGCATTTCATTCCCGTATTTACTGTATTATTTAATGCCATCAGTCCTGGTCGATTTCTAGTCCATTAACTTTGAAGTTATTTGGGCGACGCCACTTTAACACTTCAATGGAACTCTCCACCTTTTCATGGCTCTATTGTTGATGCTTTTTTTCCTCGAAAAGTTCCGCACAAAAGAAAGTGTTGGGATATCGATTTTGTGAGCGGGTTCTTCCGTGTTATTATTCGGTTTTTGTGTTCGTCGAAAGGAAACCAAAGTCGATTCAAGTATTTCCATTTGAATTATGCTTCAATTAAAGCCTCAGTTATTAGCAATAAATAAATTCCTTACATATCGACACTCCATAATCACATCCAATAATTAATAAATGAATCTTTCTTTTTGTATTTTATTAATTAACATAGTAGCTCATTACAATTTCATCTGCATACATTTCCATACTATAATTTCGTTTAACTCGAGCGAATATCGCCAGTGATTTTGAGTTCTTCGAAGATGGGTTTCTTCAAGGTTTCTCCCCCACATCCCATTTGACCAGTTCAGTTCGGTTCAGTTCAGCAGGCCGACCTGTTTATATGTAAGTATTTTTTCATTGCCATTGCCTCTTTCTTGCCTTGTTTCACTTGGCCGTTGCTTTCTGCTGTGGATTCCAAGTTTTATATATCGACTTCTATATGCAAATTCAAGCCCTAGACGTGATCGCAGAACTCGGCTCAGCCGCACAACCATCATCAATGCCTATTAATACTACCGAGCCTGTCCTCTGCCTTTGGGGTCTGCTTCGGTCGCTGTCTCCAAGTCAGTCGCGTGTCGTTTTCCAATCGTTGCGGTCTGGTCCGGTCTGCTCCCTATCTCTGCCTCAGTCGCGTGTGAATATCAAGCTCCTGATCCGGTTAGCTGCTTTAATAGACTTCACCAGAAACGGATTAATTGTAGGGCTCTACATAAGTAGGTTGATTGATTGAAATTCATCTCGGTTATCCATCAGGTGTGGTATCTTCGATGCATACATATGTACGTCTTGCTCCCCCGGAAATTGGCAGAATCAAGGCAACAACACGTTCGGGTTCTGGTTTTATCCGGGCCGATGCCCTGAAAGTATGCAAAGCACCTGTTACTCTCCGAGATAACAAGGGAGCATAAATGGTTGACCTTATTATGCTTAAAGAGGTGGCATATACATAACGATCAGACCATCATGTTCGGAAGCTGTTAAAAGAAGTGTGCGTAAAGAATATGTATAAATAAATTGTATAGAAAACTCTGCAAAACAAAAGCGAGTAAAGAAAACTGTGCGGAAGGTGCAGAAAACCTATTCAACTGACTTGAAGACCTGTATTAAATCATTTAATTTACATATAAAGTCAGAAAGGAAATTGTTAAATAATTCCTAAATGTAGAACAAACTAAAAAAAATTCGATTTAATATTGATCTTTAAGCCGACGTTGGTTGCGGAGTCAAGTGTTATCCAAAAATGTTGGCTATCGTCTGTCCTCCCCTGTTCCGTTCTGCCCAAACACACCCTTGTGCAAACGCGTTGCCACTTAGCGCGAAAATCAATTAGGCATAATGCGTACGTGTGTATGCGTATGTGTGGCCTGCCTCTCCGGCAGCCCCAAAACTCGCTGCATACTTCCAGGCGTAACGCAATTGACAGTGAAAACGGAAGCCCACACACAGATACCCAAACATACGCACATGGACACGGCTACATCCACACACAATGAAGGCAATTGAGCAGAAGCATTGCCGCTGGCAGTTTTCATCAATACTCGGAGTGGGAGTGATGGGAGCGCGAGCGATAACGAGAGAGACAGAGCAGGGCCAAACGGATAACGGGGATGGGATGGTATGGGATGGTATGGGATGGAATGGATGGACTGCAACAGGCAGCGGCAGACAACAAGTGGCAGCGAGTGCCGACTGCGCTGCCTTTGCCTCTGTCTCTATCTCTGCCTTTGCCTCGGCCGCTGGTGCTGTTGCTGCTTCTTCGCATAGTCCTCGCATCCACAGCCGCATCCTGAACGCAGTCGTTCCCTGTCGTTGTCGCTATCGCCGTCGCCTCGTGCGCCGCTGGCGCTCGCTTTGGCTTTCAGTGCGAGATGAGATCTCGTGGCTGATGGACGTGCTAGATTTCCACGTTTCCAGTGCAGCACCAGCACCAGCGCCACACACTGATACTGACACTTGTGGCACTGCCTTATCATTTTGTGTTGGATTGCCACGAAAATGTGGTTTAAAGTTTCATTTTAAACATCAATTCTAACAAATGTGCGACTGAGATAGTGCGTTACCAAACCCCTAAAAGCGGAAACCAACACCCACAAAAAACATCCAAAAATATGTGAAAACTCGCAAGGGAAAAGGGTGTAAGTTCCAGTTGAAAGAGCGACGACGACGCCGACGACCCTCCCAATAAATTATACAATATATTTAAATAGTTTGGTTTTCTTCAACGCATTACGATAATAGTGAAAGTTCTAGTTTAAGCTGAGACTCCAAGTTCCACATGTGAATTTACTCAAACGGGTTTCATTTGCATATCTTGAGATTCGTCAATGTACCGCGGTAAACCCGTCAAAACCGAAACTGAAATTAGCATTTTAAAGCGGCAACAAACGCTGTTAAATATATTGAATGTGCGAGTATTTATTAATCGATTTGAATCGAGCCTGGTGGGCACACAAGATTATTTGCCTGGCTTGTTGGCAAACATGGGAAAAATCGAAGACAAATAATTCAT